CAAAAAAAAAAAAAAAAAGAAAAAAGAAAAAGGGGTCGAAAGTGTGGGTAGGAGTGATGGGGAGTGATGGTTTTAAGTTGGGAGTTGAGGTGGGCCTTGCTGAGGAGGGGACGTTTGAGCAAAGTTCTGCGCAGGGGAGGAATGTGCTGCCTGGATATCTAGGAAATGCCAGCACCCTGGGATGCCGGGGTGCCTGAGGTGCAGAGGGACAGTGAGGAGGCCTGAGTGGCCAAAGTGTGGAGGCAAGAGACGAAGGCCTGAGTCCAGCTCTCGCAGGGCATAGAAGATCATCCATCATCAGGATGAGAACAAGTCACCTGAGCCACGCCTGCCACAAGTGTCTGGCTAGCAGGCTGATGTGATGGGGCTACCCCCAAGCCTGCCTAGGGGGCCCACATACCTTCTTGGGCAGGTGACTTGGGATTGGAGGAGCAACTTTTTGGAGAGGGAAGGCCATCTCTCCTGTAGAAGGGGTTGAGGATTTCTGGGTTGGATCCAGCTACACCATTTACTGACTGTGTAGCTTTGAGCAAGTGACTTCCACCATTCTGGACCCATTGTATCATCTGAGATGGGGGTATTGATACTTAATATTTCACAAGTAGTGACACTGTGAGGACTAAATTGGCTAAGGTATTAAAGAGCTCGGCTTAGGCAGGGCCTGCCGCAGGTGCTGGGTGCTGTGCGTGCAATGCTGGGGGGTGGTGTGAGTGAGGCTCCTGGGGGCCATGCAGGGCTCCGGTTGGGGAGTGGCGGATGGTCCGAGGGTGGCTGGGCCCTGCTGGGCTCGCTAGTTTCAGGCTCTGCTCTGTGTCCTTCTAGGCGGCCAACATGTCTGGGACGTTTGGAGGAGCCAACATGCCCAACCTGTACCCTGGGGCCCCTGGGGTCCCTGGGGGTGGTTACCCACCAGTACCCCCTGGGGGCTTTGGGCATCCCCCTTCCACCCAGCAGCCCGTTCCTCCGTATGGGATGTATCCACCCCCTGGAGGAAACCCACCCTCTGGGCTGCCCTCATATCCCCCATACCCAGGGGCCCCTGTGCCGGGCCAGCCCGTGCCACCCCCGGGGCAGCAGCCTCCAGGGGCCTATCCTGGGCAGCCACCAATGACCTGCCCCGGGCAGTCGCCAATGCCACCCCCTGGACAGCAGCAGCAGCCGGCACCAAGCTACCCAGGATACTCGGGGTCTGGGACTGTCACCCCCGCCATGCCTCCAGCCCAGGTGAGTGCCAGCCCAGTGCCACCCTCAGTTCAGGCTCGAGTCCCAGAGGCTGGAGACCAGGGCCCCATAGGTGGAGGGACGGGAGAAGGCCTCAGGCCTCCCGCTTCAATTTGTTTTAACGGATAGTCTCCCTTTCCCGCGGACACCCCACCACTGGTTTGTTCCCTAAGGCCTGAGGCACGGCCCTGTTTCTCCCAGTTGGGCTAGATGTTCCCTGAGCAAGACGGGTCAGAACACCCCAGAGCACGTTCTTTGTTCCTCCTGTGGCATTTACTACCTGGCCTCTGTGTTTTGAAAGGACTTCCCAGGGCGCCCATCTCAGGGCCTTATGCCGGACAGTTCTTAGTCTTTGGTCCCCTGATGTGTCCTCCCAGGCAGGTTTTGGAGGATTCTGAAAATCCCCTTTGGTAGTGAAAATTGTTGGCAGTTCCTCCAGGGTTGATCTTGGCACGTTTTGGGGAACAGTTCATATTTGCAGAGCCTAGAATTCATTGTCATGGTTACATGGCCCAACCAGAAAGCACAGAGTTAGTGGTGTGTGCTTTTCAACTATTTTTAGACAGAGGGTCCCCTTTCCCCCTCCCCTTCCATGCCCACATGTTCCCCCACCCTGTGGCACCCTCCATTCTCCCTCCCTTATTTTCTCCCTGAGCTTCTCTCTGTAACTATTATAACCAGTTGGTACCAGCTACCAGGAAATCAGTCCACTGGGACAGTTTAGCCTGGAAAGTTCAAGTTTGTGAGTTGTGCGGCCGTCAGGGTCTAGAGGTAGTCCAGGTTATGGTCTAAAGAGTGGTATCAGGGTATCAGCCTAGACCAAGAGGTAGCTGGGCTGCCACGTAGGCTGGGTACCTGTGTCCATCTGGAGGAGATACGTGGGCTATCTAGCCCGTTAGGAGTACCCATGTGTGCTCCCAGGTGCTATGGTGGTACAGCATCGAGGGGAGGCCACAACCCCTGCCCCTGAGGTCTGCCCTTCATCAGGAACCTGGAGGGCTTGGATGTAGGGCAGATTTTCAGCATCAGGACTCAGCCACAGTGACCTATGAGTCAGGGGAGCCAGGCAGAAGCTTCAGTACCAGAATACGGAGCCAGATAACAGTCAACTTAGACTCAATGGAGAGTCCTCTGCAGTACTGACTGTGGGCTCCTTCAGGTACTCCAGCTCTTTGAGAAGGGTTGTTCCTAGAGTCTGGGGCATGGAGCAGTCTTGCATCTGGGGATGGTGGCGTGCAAGTCATCTTATCTGTAACTATTTGTTCAAGTAGTTTGGAAACCGAGGCACCATCACAGATGCTTCCGGCTTTGACCCCTTGCGAGATGCTGAGGTCCTGCGGAAGGCCATGAAAGGCTTTGGTGAGAGACCCCGGGTGGTTCAAATTCCATCACCCTCCCATTCTCCAGGCAGTTTCACAGTGGCTCTGTGGGTAGCTGGGGAGGCATACCTGGCCCCGGGGGTGATGGAAGAGAAAATGACGTGGGGTGTGGTTGGGATGCCCAGGAGAGTTGGAGGACCCAGGCTGGGAAAGTCTGCGGCTGCAGAGCATCTTCGGGACCCTCCCCCCTCCCTCTTCTTCCTCCAGGGACTGATGAACAGGCCATCATCGACTGCTTGGGTAGTCGCTCCAACAAGCAGCGGCAGCAGATCCTCCTGTCCTTCAAGACAGCTTATGGCAAGGTGAGTTTGGGGGCAGGGTCCCAGAGCACAGCCCTGCTAACCCTGTGTCTCCTTGAAGCTGGGCGGGCCTGGGCAATATGGTGCATGCGGGCATTTTCTGCTGCCCCCTCAGCCAGTGTCTGCCCAGCTGGTGGCATTTATCTTTTAGAGGTGAAAAATGCCCTGAGGAAGGAACCTCACAGTCCACAGGGTACCCAGGTTTGGTGAAAGGCTCCAGACATCTGGGTCCTGGCCCCTGGCTTGTCCTTGCCTCACTGAAGTTGTGGCTGTGTCATTTCTCCCTGCCCACACCCGCCCTCAGCTTTCCCTCCCCTGCCCTCATGACCACCCTTGGAGATTTAGCTGATGTAAGAGCTTTGGAAGAAAAGGCGTTGAGTACTGAGCAAAATGCAAGGGGGGTGTTTTTTGAACTTATAGGATTTTGAATCTTAGAGAAATTGGGTCAACGTTGAGTGGGTTAGTGTTCTAGCCCAGTGCTTCTCAGACCTTGCTGTGCCATGAATCACAGGCATCTTGTTAAAATGCAGGCTCTAGTCAGACATGTCTTGGTGGGACCTGATGTCAGACTTTCTTCTCCCAGGCTCCTGGTGAAGCCAGTGCTGCTGGTCCTTGGGTCTGGGGTATCGTTCTTATTAGTCACCTTCTGTACATTCTCACAATAAGCTCATTTTTGTTTGTTTGTTTGATTATCCAACCAGGATTTGATCAAAGATCTGAAATCTGAACTGTCAGGAAACTTTGAGAAGACAATCTTGGCCTTGATGAAGACCCCAGTCCTCTTTGACACTTATGAGATAAAGGAAGCCATCAAGGTGTGTGTGTGTGTGTGTGTGTGTGTGTGTGTGTCTGGACACACAGCCCAGAAGAAGGCCTGGACGGTGGGTATGTGATAACCCACTCATTAGCTGGTGCTGTCAGTGTGGTCTGGGACCCTCCTGGGTTGGAATCCACGTGCTATAGAAAGGAGAACTGCTGGCGATTTCTCAAGAGGCACATGGTGTGCCATTTGTCGTCAGGGAGCATCTAAGTCTCTCCATCTTAAAAAGGTGGTGGGAGCTAGGGTTGTGGAGGAAGCTAGAGATTCAGTGATGTGAAGAAGGGTGGGAGGCCATAGTTGGTATCGTTCTCATTCACTAGGACTGTGATAAACAAATTACAGAAACACGCTTGAGTTTAAGAAAACAAAGGTAAAATCAGTTATGAGGATAAAGATGAGCCCCTTAACATGGGAGTGGGACAGGGCCAGGGCACGTGAAGGGCAGGGACTGGGTAGGATCTCTCTCTCGTCTCTCTGCTTGTCTCTGAGCGTCCGCTTCATTCCTTTATCTGCTTTTGTGCTTCTCCTTCCATCGCTGCCTTCAGAAGATGCCTGTCTCTGTCTACCTGTCAGAGATGTGGCTGCTGAATATACCAGCTCTCTGCACCAAGTTCCACCTAGGGGACCGATTCCAACTGGCTCAGCTTAGGATCACTGTTTCCTCCAGTGCCGTCGGCACTGACCCAGGGGCAGGTCCTATCCATTCTGCACAGTCCCGCAGCTCTGTGTGTGTCCTGTGAATGGGGAGCAGACCACACCCACAGAAGGGGAATCCTTGTGAATCCAACAGGTGCCCAGGAGGAATCTCTCCCTCAGAGGCCCATCGGGAACAATGACTTCTCCCTCCCCCAAAGGAGAAGCAGAGAATTAGTGTGGTGGCCAGGAAGGGGGAGAGGACCCCACTGACACATAGCTCCAGGCTTTATTCTAGGGAGGGGCTCAGGAGGTGACTGGGGAGGGCAATGGTCTGGAGCCCTAGGGAGTGCCCCCCTGTCATTCACCCAGCTCCTATTGCCAGCTGGATCCGTAAACTGGTGGTTGTGGTGTGCTGGAAGCAACACAGGTTTGGGGTCAGCAGTCGCTCGCCAGCTGTGTGTCCTTGGACATCTGTGAAGGGGGACGGTGGGTGCTCTCTCAGGATATGCAGTGAGCACTGGGTGAGGTAGCTGGCATAATGTTGAGCTTTCTGCTGTGAGGCACTAGGCCTCTACATATGTTAGTTCATGTAATCCTCATGACTGCTCTATGAGGTTGCTGCTAGTTCACTCCCATTATAGCGAAAAGGAACCAGAGGCACAGAGAGGTTAAATAACTTGTCCAAGGTCACACAGCTAGTAAGCCACAAAGCCAAGATTCATATTAACACAAAAGCGAGGCTGCTGACCCTGTCCTCTGCTTTCATACTCTCCCTGGTGACATCCTTGTTGTTGCTGCCTCTTTCTAGATGTCTCCAAGCACTCCACCATCCATTCTAGGTTTCAGTTTTCCTGCATCTCCCCCACCTGATCTCTCTTGGGTTTTTTTCTTTTTTTGAGTCAGAGTCTCACTCTGTCACCCAGGCTGGAGTGTAGTGGCACGCTCACGGCCACCACAGTCTCGACCTGCTGGGCTCAGGAGATCCTTCTGTTTCAGCCTTCCAAGTAGCTGGAACTACAGGCGCGCTCTACTACGCCCGGCTATTTTTTAAATTATTATTTATTTATTATTGTAGTGATGAGGTCTCACCACGTTGCCCAGGCTGGTCTCGAACCCCTGAGCTCAGGCAGTCCTCTCGCCTCAGCCTCCCAAAGTGCTGGGATTACAGGCTTGAGCCACCATGCCTGACCTCTTCCTTGCTTTTAACCCATTTTTTTCAGTTGTCAGTCATTTTACTCTCGAGCTAAACTCGGAATAAATCAGGACTGTCTATATCTTAACCTAGCCATTTACTGTGTGGCCTTGGACAAGTCACAACACCTCTCTGGTTCTGTTTTCTGGTCAATGAGGATGACCTTTCCTGGGATCCCTACTCATCTCCATGATCACTGTCATTATTTGGAGCTAACCTGGGCCCAGGGCTGTGGTGGGGAGCTGGCTCCCTCAGCCCTGGAGTGCACGATGGGTGTATGTCTGTCAAGGGCGTCTTGCTGAGTTTTGTGCCCCGGGGGATGGGCTGGTAGCGTGGCCCTTTCCCTGTTTCCTGGGTGCTGGTGAGGATGCTATCACAGTGTGTGGTATGCTGTGTTCTCTGTTCGCAGGGGGCTGGCACCGATGAAGCCTGCCTGATTGAGATCCTTGCTTCCCGCAGCAACGAGCACATCCGGGAGTTGAGCAGAGTCTATAAAGCAGGTTAGGCTGGCTCCCTAGGCCCTCTGCCCTCTGCAGATCCCTCTGCTTTCTGGGCCCTGGCCACACCCTCTCCTGGGGCCTCTGATTCCTTCCTGGCCTTCTTGTCACCCCATCTCCTGCCACCTTCAGCACACTGGGCTTTGACCCAGGATCCAACCCTGCTTACTTGTGTACACATGGGGCTGGTGACTTAGGGTAGGGAGGCTGGGGAAAACCTCTTGGGTTTGGGCCAAGACTGACCAGAGGCCAGACCAACCTGGAGATCACAGACTTGTGTATTCCTGGAGGGCCATAAGGGCCACCTGCCTCCTCGAGTCTGAGACCCCCAGGCCTTTCTCTCACCAGCACCCACTGTTGACTGTGTCTGCAGAGGGCCACTCTGTACATGGTGCTTCTCCCTTTCAGAATTCAAGAAGACCCTGGAGGAAGCCATTCGAAGCGACACATCTGGGCATTTCCAGCGCCTCCTCATCTCCCTCTCTCAGGTACCTTTCCCTCAACAGGGCTCGGGGCTCCTGAGCCGTGGGGGTCACAGAGATGGGATTTGAGCAGCGAAGAAAGGGAAGAGAAATGGGGCTAGAGTGGGCTTGACTGCACAACCTGCTTCCTTTCAGGGAAACCGGGATGAAAGCACCAATGTGGACATGTCCCTTGTCCAGAGAGATGTCCAGGTGAGTGTGATGGCCAGACCAGGTATCTACCTGGGCTTCCTAAAGCAGGAGTGTCCCCCACTTCCTTGCCTCACAAGAGGTACTCTGGGATGGAAAGAGCAATGGAGAAGAAGTGGGTTCCAGTAGCCCCAAATTTCTTACGTCCTGCCGCTTCTCCACGGTATGACCTTGAGCAGGTGTCAGCCTTGTGGGCTTCAGTTTCCCCACCTGTAAGAGGGAACATGAGAGAGAATAAATACTGTAGTGGTTGATAGATCACAGTTATGGGTGTGGGATTTTGTGACTTGGTACTTTTTTGTGTTTAGTTGTACATACCGTTATATTTGCAAAGGGGCAGAATTTGTATTTGCCTATTAAGCTTTTGAGGATTTGAGCCAAGAAACCAACTGTCACGTTAACTAGTTGTGCCTTCTTGGAATTCTGCCTTGTCTCCCTTGTTAGTTGCAGACAGAAGGAGAAAAGTCTAGGTGTCTGAGCCCACAATGAGTTTGGACAGTAGTGTTCTGGCTGGGTGTGGGAGGGCACAACTTGCTGGTAGAGTACAGCTGGCTATACCTCTCTCTGTACTCCTTTACTCCTCCTACCACCCACACAGGGCATTCACCTGGAGCTGCCCGTGGTTTGATTATGTCTGCCATCTGCTGGGTTGGAATAGGACCTCACGGAATGCCCCTTGTTAGGGCTGAAGGAGACCTGCTCTTCTGGTCTAGTCCTTTTGCTTTCCAGATGAAGAAACTAAGCACTGTGCCCAGAGAATCCTGGAGGCAGAGTCTGGACAAGAGCCCATACTGATCCCTGGTTCTTTTCTCTGTGCCTAGATAGTATCTGCCTGCCTTGGTCTCCTACCCGTTGCCATCTGCCTTATTCAGTGTTTCCCTGGCTTGTGCTGTCTGTTCCCATTTTGGGACTCAGCTCTGGACGTCCCTGAACCTTCTGGACTCTGGGTCCAGAGTCAATTTTATAGGCCATATCCTAGCTGAGGCACAGGCTGCTGCAGGATCAGGGTCTGTCACTCTGCTGTCCCAGTTTCAGACCTGCCTCATTTTATCTTGACCTGTAGGATCTCTGAGTCCCTGATTACTGCTTTCCACCCTTGGGTTTCAGTGCCCTTAAATGCAAGAGCTGCTATCTGAGGCCTAGCAGGCAGTTTGGAGGCTGTCTAGTTTAGAGGTTGAAAATTGGCAAATATTTTGGGCTCAGACTTTCAAAAGCTTAATAGGCAAGTATAAATTCTGCCCCTTTGCAGACATAATGGTACATGCGTTGAAACACGGGGAAAGTGCCAAATTACATGGAATTTCACATCTAGAACTGTGATCTACCAACTCTTGCAATAGTTATTATCTCTGTGTTCCTTCTTGTAGGGAGATGGCATTTATTTATGTATTTGAGTCAGGGTCAGTCTCTGTCATCCAGGCTGGAGTGTAGTGGCATGCTCACAGCCATTGCAGCCTCGACCTGCTGGGCTCAGGCAGTCCTTCTGCCTCAGCCTTTGAGGTAGCCAAAACCACAGGTGTGTGCCACCATACCCAGCTAATTTTTTGATTTGTTGCAGAGACGAGGTCTGGCCATGTTGCTCAGGCTGGTCTCGAACCCCTGAGTTTAGGCAATTCTCTCATCTCCACCTCCCAAAGTGCTGGGATTACAGACGTGAGCCACCGCACCTGGCTGGGAAACTGCTTTTAAAGATTGGGAAATTTACATGCAAATCTGGAATGTTGGCTTCTCCTAAGAAATGGATCTGGCAGCCAGGCTCGGTGGCTCAGCCTGTAATCTTAGCGCTTTGGGAGGCCGAGGTGAGTGGATTGCCTGAGCCTGCGGGTTCGAGACCCTCCCGGGCAACTTGGCGAGACCTCATCTCTACAATAAATCAAAAAAATTAGCCGGGCGTGGTAGCGCACGCCTGTAGTTCCAGCTACTTGGAAGGCTGAGGCGGAAGGATTGCCGGACACCAGCAGGTCGAGGCTGCGGTGGCCAGGGGCAGCCACTGTACTCCAGTCTGGGTGATGGAGTGAGACTCCAACTCAAAAAAAAAAAAAAAAAAAAAAGAAATGGATCTGGCAGCTGTGAGCCCATGTCTCTCTATCACAATACTCAGCAGGTACTCAGAAGTAACTGCCCCCTGCATAGTCAGCCAGGGTCCCCACACTCTCAGCTTGGCAGCTGGCCTGTTTTCCTCAGTTAAGTTACCCCACTGACCCCTTTGGGCTTTCAAATTTGTGACCACAAATCGAATCCAAGGTTCATGCTTTAGAAATGAGGATATTGAGGCTCGGAGCAGAGTTCTGCCCAGAGTCCCGGAGGGAGTTGGTAGCAGGGCTGGACTTGAACCCAGGCCTCTTGTTCCTTGTTCTTTTCTGAAGTACTTCTCCCTTGGTCAGGTCAAGGCTGTTCCTCACCTGACCTGAGCCCCACTGGCCTTGGTTGTCCTGGTCTGTATCCCCTGCAGCCGCAGAGATCTCTGTGAGAGGATGTGTGGCTAGTGTTTGGTTTAGCACGGTGAATGGAGCCCAGCAGGGGCTCAGCAAACCTGCACCCCACAGTGGGCACTGCTCCCGTTTCCTTCTCCTTCAGGGTCTGCAAGACCTGTAGGGCTAGACACTGCCTAGCTTTTCTAGGTGACCTGGCTTGGGATCTGGGTGAGGCCCGTGCTACGTGTGTGTCTTCCTCTCTATCCAGGAGCTGTACGCGGCTGGGGAGAACCGCCTGGGAACAGATGAGTCCAAGTTCAATGCAGTTCTGTGCTCCCGGAGCCGGGCCCACTTGGTGGCTGGTAAGGCAGGCCCAGTTTCTCTGCGGCCAGTTAGTGCATTGTGGGGAAACAAAGATATGGAAACACTTGGTGGTTCCTCTTCTACACTGGGCTTTCGCTTCCTCAACAGAGCCCCCTGGTGGTGATATAAAAGATACCGCCGAGGATTTCCTGAGTTTTGGCAATTCTGGAAGCAGAGGGAGGAGGTGAGGGAGTGGGAGCTTCCTGTTAGCTGGTATCTTATTAAGCTGGAATACTGGAGTTGGGGGAGTCCTTTGGAAGCTCCTAATCCAGTGTTTTCCAAAGCGTGGCATAAGAAACAAAGCAAGCCGGGCTCAGTGGCTCAGCCTGTAATCCCACGCCTTGGGAGGCTGAGGTGAGTGGATTGCCTGAGCCTGCGGGTTCAAGACCTGCCTGGGCAACTTGGTGAGACCTCATCTTTATAATAAATCAAAAAATCAGCCAGGTGTGGTAGCGCACGCCTGTAGTTCAGCTACTTGGAAGGCTGAGGCAGAAGGATCGCCAGAGCCCAGCAGGTCGAGGCTGCGGTGGCCGGGAACAGCCTCTGCACTCCAGTCTGGGTGACAGAGTGAGACTCCAACTCAAAAAAAAAAAAAAAAAGAAAATAGTAATACCAGGTAACATTTATTTACTCATTCATCCAACAGATATAAGTCGAGCTCCTGTCATGGGCCAGTCCATCAGGTGGTGGCAGGGATGTGAGGAAGCGGTAGGGAACAGCAGTGCTGTTCTTTGGGACTCACCTTCTTATTCTAGGAGACAGACGGTAAACAAAAATTAGATGAAATCTGCATCAGACAAGTGAAACCTGTAGAGAAAAATCAAGCTGGAAACGGAGTGATGGGGCGGGGTCCTGGGGGAGGTGCTTGGGCAGTCCTCACTGAGATAAGGACATTTGATCAAGAACCAGAAGGAGATGCAGGGGCTCGCAGCGTGACTGAGAGACAGTGCAGGGTTGCGTGTGGCTGGGACTGATGCCCTGCTCGAGAGCAGTAGCGGGTGAGGGCAGAAGTGGTGGAAGGCCCTGCTGACGAGTGTGTGCAGTTAGGTGTTTCTCCTGAGAAACAGGAGGCTGCTGGAGGGCTCGGAGGAGCGGATGCTGTGTGTGCCCACTGGTTGAGGAGGTGCTGAGGATCAGTCAAAGGGGTGCGTGGTGAGCAGGGAAGCTGGCTGAGAGGTTGCTGCAGTGACCCAGGATAAGCAATTGACGGGGGGGCAAGGAGTGAGGAAGGGTCAAGTTCCAGGCCTGTTTGCTGATGAACTGGATGTGGCTTGTGGGAGAAAGGAGTCGAGAATGACTGCACAGTGGGAGGATGGAGTGGCCCTCGACTGAGCCTGGGGAGCGGCGGGGGAACAGGCTTTAGGAGGGGGGGGGATGCAGGGAGTCCAGGAGTCAGGAGGCCAGGAGAGGTCTGGCTAGATGTGGCAGTTTTGGAGCTGTGAGTGGTCAAAGGTGTCTGAGGTCCTTTGACAAGAGGTCCGCCGGGAGGGAGGTTGGAGGGAGCCTGGCAGTGTGAAGACAGGGTCCCGGGCAAGGCCAGGACCTGAAGGAGGAGCAACTGGGGAGGAGGGAGAACCCAGAGGAAGGGGATCCTGGATGCCAGTGTGAGGCAGCAGGTGAGGACTGAGGATGGCGACCACACTGAGCAACATGGATAGATCTGACCAGGGCTGTTTCAGTGGATGACCAGGGCCTAGGCTGAGTGCTGAATGCGTGCTAAGTCCCGTAGCCCACACAGACAGGTGCTGTGTCTCCCCATTTTCCAACTGTGGAGGCAGGCCCAGGTGGCTGGGGAAGTTGGGTTGTACAGCTAGTAACCACTGAGCCTGGATTTGAGCCCAGTCCATCCCACTCCTGAGCATACCTTTTAACCTCTACACTTACCTGTAATGGAGCATGAGTGAATATAGGTTCATCTTAATCATTATTTGTTTTAATGATTATAAAATATAGGTAGTACATCAGGCCCATGGTTTCACAAACATTATTAGGAGAAAAGAGTAGCCAATTTGAGGAAAATATTAATTGAGATAGATACAGACAGAGCAGAAATTACGACTTTGATATACAAGGGGAAACCGAGACCTGGCTGGGGAAGGAGAGGTTTATATCCAGGGGCACAGCCAGAGCTAGGACCCAGGTCTCCATCATGCCCCCTGCCTCTCCAGGAGCCAACATTCCATTCCCATGAGTTCTCCATTCATCCTAGGTTGAACTGGGTAATGTGGGCAAGATAGTGAGAAGCAAAGCTGACTTGGGCTGGCTGGGCCTCAGCTCACAGGCAGACTGAGAAAGACAGACTGACGCATGAATAACAAGGAAGGAATGGCAGGAACAGCAGCGCAGGGTATTTGAGAAGAGTATCTGTGTGGGTGGGTGGAGAGGGGTGGAGGGGAATTAAAGTGAGATTTGGTTAAGCAGATTGGCCTGGGAAGGGCCCACATGAGCGGGGTATCGGGCAGCTCACGTGATTTGTGATAGAGTCTGGCTACCATGAGAGCTGAGCAGACAGGGTCAATGGGGCTGGCCAGGGCGAGGGAGCAGAGTAGAAGAGTGGGCTCCCCAAAGGGCAGAGGCTGCTCACACAAGTCCTTTCTTGGTCTACTTGGGCTCCATGACAAAATACCACAGACTGGGTGGCTTAAGCAACAGACATTTGCTTTCTTATAGTTCTGGAGGCTGGAAGTCCTAGATCAAGGTGCCGGCAGGGTTGATGTCTTCGGAGGCCTCTCTTGGTGGCTGTTGGTGTCCTCACATAGTCTTTCCTCTGAACACACACATCTCTGATGTCTCCTTATATGTCCTAATCCCTTCTTATAAAGATGCCAGTCAGATTGCATTAGGGTCCACCCCTGTGGCCTTGTTTTAACTTAGTTACCTCTTTAAAGACCTTATCTTCGGATATTCTGAGGTACTGGGGGTTTGGGATTTCAACATATGAATTTTCAGGGGACACGATTCAGTCTATAACATATCCCTTCTGTCTTACCACTAGTTTTTAATGAGTACCAGAGAATGACGGGCCGAGACATTGAGAAGAGTATCTGCCGGGAGATGTCCGGGGATCTGGAGCAGGGCATGCTGGCCGTGGGTGAGTGTCCTGGTCCTGCCTTGCCTGACTGCGCCAGGGGCTTGTGTGTATTGTATGTTTTCAGGGTGTTCACCGTCCTCTCGTTGAGGGCTGTGCAGAGAAAGAATCTAGGATCCATGATTGCTAAACCCAGAGTGCCCGAGTGGTGGGAAATCTCACTGCTTCCCAGATTACCATGTAGTTGAACCCTGGCCATCCTGGAGGCGCCTTGTTTGTGTTTCCAGTGCAGCTCTGGAGGAGGGAACTGCAGTGTGGGTATTAGTGGGAGAGCATCCAGCTATTGCCCGGAGGGACATGACTCACATCCTGCCAAGTTTACTCTAAAAATACATCCCTGCCGGCAGTCGTCAGATGTTTGTGATGGAAACACGTGGAAAGATTTTTACTTGGAACAGCAAAATAGGCCCGTGCTAAGGAAAGCTGGCCCCGCTCCTGGGATGGTGGTGTGCTTCCTGCAGCGCCTGGTGGGCTCAGGTCCCTCCCCACCACACAGAATTGGTCCACCTCGCGAAGCCCTCTTTATACTTGGGAAAATTCGTTTGCCCTTTTTCACTACGCTTTTCTTGCAGCTTTCTGGATTGGATCGATGGTAAATTCTCATTTTCTTGCATGTCCTCTGTGATCAGTCTGGTGGTCTGAGAATCCTGGGGAGATACTCATTCTGCTTGGCCACCCTCTCTTCGGAGGGTCACAGCCTTCCCAGTTTGTCTCTCCTGCCTGAGCAGCAACAGCATTCCACATTGCTGTCTGCGTTTCTCCCAACACAGCTCCCAGCATTGTCATCCCAGCCCCTCAGGTTCTTGTTCTTTGACTGCAGTGCTTGCCAGGAAGCAGATGGGGTTGGTGCCAGGCTCTGCATCTTTCTTTCCTAAAGAGCTGAAGTCAAGATCATGGGATCATCCAGCCTGGAGGAGGAGAGATGACGGATGCAGTGATGGGCTTGACATCTAAGCCTTCTAGGAGGACACTTGTGTGCTCCATGCCTCCCTCAGGCCGAGAGCTTTCTGCACATCTAGTTACACTGAGTTTCTCTGTTTTAGTGAAATGTCTCAAGAATACCCCAGCCTTCTTCGCTGAAAGGCTCAACAAGGCCATGAGGGTACGTAGCTCCCGTGTGCAGAGGGCCCAGGTTGGAGATGTCTTACCTCATCTGTGACTCGGACCAAAGGCTGGGGGTAGAGGGTATGGGGACAGCCACACCTCAGCCAGGAGGTTCAAGGAGGTCCCCGGGGGTGGGCAGGGGACTAGAGCACCTGGGGGGGGTGGGAAGGTGAGTAGGCCTATTGCTCATGCTGTTGGGTGGATTCTCTTTAGGGGGCAGGAACAAAGGACCGAACCCTGATCCGCATCATGGTGTCCCGCAGTGAGACTGACCTTCTGGACATCAGATTGGAGTATAAGCGGATGTATGGCAAGTCGCTGTACCATGACATCACGGTACGGGCCCTCTGGCTGCCTCCTGGCATCCCAGTCACCTGTGGACCTCTCTGGCATCCCCACCTTCCCTCCTTGTGGTGCCCATGTGCTTGGCTTCTGTACTAGGCAAGGGCATCTTGTTTATGGATCTCAGACTTACTCTTGTTCATCCAGTTGCTCCCAATCAGAATATAAGGTCCTGAGGGCAGGCAGGTCTTGACCCTTCTGTCGGGCCCATGCCGCATCCCCCAGCAGCATCAGAGAAGACTTGGACCCCAACCTTCAGCTTCCAGACCCCCCTGTGATTCTGAGATCTGTCAGTGAGAACTCAGGTCCCAAAGGCTCCACGGAGCTCGGACCCGATTCACTGATTCATCACTTCTTGCACTCAGCTTTATGGTGGGGTCGCATCATAACGTCGTTCAGAGCAAGGGCCCTGGGGTTGTGTCACTTGGAGTCCTGGCTTTTCTACTTGCTGTGTGATCTCCAGCAGCCTCCTTAAAGCTCCCCGAATCCCACCTCCATTGTGTTTAAGATGGAAGAAATGATAGTTCCTCCCTGGGAGTGTTGTGAGTGTCGAATGAGGCTATCCATGTCAAATGTCTAATAAACATGAGCCACTATTGTGTCACTGTGCGCCAGCGCCAGCCTGACAAAACGTATTCTTGTCTGCATGGTCTGACAGTTAAATTCTGAACTCGTATGAACCTTGAAATTGAGTCACAGGACCGGGTCCTGACTTCAGACTTGCTAGCATTTGATGATGGTGGCATCATCGAGACAGGCCTGCCTCCATTTCCTGGCTACACGAATGACACTGCTGACAGAGAATTAGTCATTATTTATGGAGTATCTCTTGTGTGCCAGTGGACTGTGGACGCCTGGAAGAAGCCACACGCCTTGCCCTAGAATTGCTTAGGGTGGAAGGAACTGATTAGAAATTAGCCAAGCCTGGCCTGCTCTTCTAGAGTAAGTGCAGTGGTCTCAGACAGGGGAGATGTGTGGGACCTGGAAGGCCTGGGTCCTCCATCTTATGGTCACATGCAAGGTTACACTTCTTGAGCAGGACATGACACTGGGTTAGGATATAACCCAATTTAGTGCAACGTGGGGGAAAGAGCAATATTGGTTAGCCCTGGGTAGTGGTTTTTAGGCTGATGTAAATTTTTCTATGGTTATTTATTTGAGTTGGACAGTTGGGGTGAGTACAGTTTTTGTTGTTTAATGAGGGCTCAGGGAAGGCCGAACCACACTATTTGCTGCCTACTCTAGGACCAATGGGATGGGAAGCTTTCCTGAGATGGGGCCTGCCTCTCTGTGCTTGGGACACAAGAACATCAGGAGCCAGGAGGCTGAAAGCGGCCATGCCTCCTTTGATTGATGTCCTCTTGTTTCTGGCCAGGGAGACACTTCAGGGGATTACCGGAAGATTCTGCTGAAGATCTGTGGTGGCAATGACTGAACAGTGACTGGGGGCTCACTTCTGCCCACCTGCTGGCAGCAGCGATGCCAGGAAGAGGCCAAAAGAATGTCTGCTTCTAGAAAATCCACAAATAGCCCCCAAGGTGCACCGTCCTAGAGCTTCGGCCCTATCCTTCACCCCTCCTGACCCATATGTTGTGCCGAAGGACCTGGGTCGGTCTAGAACTCTCTCAGGATGCCTTTTCCACCCCACCTCTCACGGCCTCTTGCTGCTAAAGTAGATGTTTTATTTCCTGGCTCGTGCAGTCCTTCCCCTTTGCTTGTGGCTAAGACTCTTGGCTTCATTTTAGTCATGTAATTTTATATTTTTATCTGAAGGCATATTTTTCTTACAGTTATTGCCAGACAGATGCATACAAGTCTGTTTGCTGCATACACATTTCTGGTGAGGGTGATTGGGTGGGTAGAGCGCCATGCCCTCACTGAGGAAAAAAAAGGAAGGACCTCTAAAGGTTATCTTTGCATCTGGAGAGAATGTGTCATGAGCTTTGTTATTGCCAACCTCACTCCTCTGTAGAGAGGGGAAAAAAAGGCCAGAAAGTCATCTGTTCCATCTTCCATGCAAAACCAGGAGAACAAAGCCAGTTCCCTGCCAGTATCATGGCTTCTGGTTATTTGGAATGTGCCTTAAACCTGAATGTTTGTAGCCAAAACCTGTTTTCAAATTAAAAGTCAGCCAGCTCTGGAATGTTCTGGAAATGTCTTCCTGCTGCCAGCTTGTTTTCTTCTGCCTCATGATTCTGCCCTGTGGCTCAGGTTCCAGCCTTATTAGCCAGAGAATATTCACATAAGAAGAAATTTGTGCTCAGGAAATCCTGAGCCTAAGCCAATTCACAGGGACTGGGTTATAAAGACATAAGAAGGAGGCTCCTCGAATCCAAGTTGAGGGCCCAGAAGCTGAGAAAGCACAGGGATCCTGGCCAGGTGCAGGTGCAGTAAAGGCCACTGAAGGTGAGATGAGTGTGGTCCTTTACCCAGGTCCTGAAGAAGGGGCTTGGGCTGGTAGAAGGGTACATGCTGATCCCTGGGGCTTCTCAGGGCCAGAGCAGCACAGTGCCTTTCCTCAGGAGCCTCAGCCTGAAAGATGCTCCTGGCTGTGGTCCCCCGGGCTCTCTGCCACTTGTTTGGTGGTGTGGCGGGGAGCCCATTAGGAACATGTTTTTAGGAACCATGGTGTCATGTCCGGAAGCCAGAGTTTGCCTTGCTGGTCAGGGGTATCCTCTCACTCCCCTTCCTACCTCCTGTGTTGAAAAGTTTAAATGGGGCCGGGTTTGGTGGCTCAGCCTGTAAACACTTTGGGAGGCCGAGGCGAGTAGCACTTTGGGAGGCCGAGGCGAGTAGATTGCCTGAGCCTGCGGGTTTGAGACCCACCCAGGCAACTTGGCGAGACCTCGTCTCTACAATAAATCAGAAAAACTAGCTAGGCGTGGTAGTGCACGCCTGTAGTTCCAGCTACTTGGAACGCTGAGGCAGAAGGATCGCTGGAGCCTAGCAGGTCGAGCCTGCAGTGGCCAGGAGCTGCCACTGCACTGCAGTCTGGGCAACAGAGTGAGACTCCAACTCAGAAAAAAAAAGTTTCAACGGGAGCGTTCAGAGACTGATAGATTAAGTCTGCTTGGCCCTGGCAGAGGCTCCAGGGAGTGGCTTGTCTGCTGAGTAGACATTTGCCTGGGGACACCGCCTGACTCCTCACCGCCCCCTAAACACAGTGAGAGTAAGGGTTACACCCAAGGAGCATGGAGCACTAGTGAGGTGGGCCCTAGCCTGGTCTACCTAGATTGGCCTTCCTGAGCCAGTGGCTTGTATGGGTGCTGGGATTGATGGCAGGTCCTGGTCAATCGGTGCTATCCTAGTGTCCACACCTGGAGCCCAAGCTGACTTCCCAGGAACTTCTCCTCTAGGGAAGGTGCCAGGTGGAACCTGCCCTATGGGATGCACTGTTTGGCACTGGGCAAGTTGCCGTGGACTCAAGCTGACCGTGGTGGCCTCCTAATAGGGCCTAGAATCAGGGTGCTGTAATATGGCTGTGAATATTCTGTGACATTACTTTGCCCTGTTGTCCATCCCCGAAGTCTCAGCCTGGCACCCAGCAGGCAATATTGAGCCTAAAGGTACATTTACTTTGGCCTCTAGTATTTTTAGCGATTTGAATTTAGAGGCCAAGTGTGGTGGCTCACACCTGTGATTCCAATACTTTGGGTGGCCAAGATGAGAGGATTGCTTAGGCCAGGAGTTTGGGCAATATAGTGAGACTCCCATCTCTATTTTTTTAAAAAATTGAATTTATAGCTAGCGTTTAAACATTGAGAGATTTCACACTTTAAAAAATCTGGAATTCTGGCTTATCTTGAAAGCCTAGAAATTCTGGAGCTGAGTTGCAGCTGCCCACTTCAGGAATGTACTCTCCGTTTGTCATAGGCTCCACCACTCCCTATTGCGTTAACACCAAGCCCATGCTACTTATATGGCTCCTGAAGGCCTTTGAGTTTGAGATCACTGGTCTACATACTTTGTGGCCACCTGTGTTCTTCCCAGTCCTGGTTCTCCCTGCCTTCCCATCCCTCTGGCTTCCTCTTAGTCATGCCCAAGGGATCCAACCCATGTTAAGTGTGAGCTGGAGCACTGCACAAATGCTTCTTTAAGATTTCCCTGTGGGAACCCCCTCGGGTCCCCTCCCACTGTGGGAGCTCTTCTGTCCTCTTAAGAAATCCTGCTTTCTTAAAAAACAAAAAACAAAAAAAACTTCATGGAGGCAAAGTCACCTACTGTCTTCCAAGGTCAGTGGGAGATTGAGATCAACACTGTTGATTGTGTTCAGGACAAGAAAAAGATGAGGAGGAAGACATGCAACCGTACAGGGCATCTTTCCGCGAGAGAACATGCTGGGTCTTTTCCTGCCTTCTAGAGATGTCAGGCAAGGCTGGTCCATGCCACCCATCTAATCTCACTTCTAAAATAACAACTAGAGGATGAAGCACCAGATGGATTCGGCCCTGAGTGAAGTTCCAGCAGCTGTGGGAGCATTGAGAGGAACACTATGTATTAGGGGCAGGACCAGGGCTAGGGTGAGGCAAGTGAGTCATCTGTCTCAGGTGCAAAGTTCAAGAAACCTTGTGGATGGGTAGACAGTCCTGAAGTGATTCTCAAGCCTGAGTGCATCGGGACCATCCAGAGAACTTGTTAAAGAGCAGGTCCCAGGGCTGCACCTTCACAGATTCCAAGCAAGCATGGGGCCAGGAAACCACATCTGTAATCTGCTGTAATCAAATGCTGGCCTAAGTACTGCTGTGCTGAGGCAGAGAGTTTCCTGAGACTAACGATGTTTATACAGAGGGCAGATGAGCAGATGGCAGGGTATGCTTGAAATTCAGTCAGGTGATGGGAGATAGGATGAGGCATTCCCAACTTTGAGAAGAGGGATCTGGAAGATGAAACTTTGCAGGCGCCCATGGTCAAAGTGAAGGTTGAATGCCACACCATGTCCATCCTCTGTTGGCCTTGGCAGGGAGTTATAGTCCTAGCCTAGGACCTGACCCCTTCTGCTAAGGGCTCTTTCCTGACCTAACTGATAAGGAGTGTACTAAGACCTAGAAACAAATCAAACTAAATACATTTCCTCAGGCAGATTAAGATATACATTTTCACCCCCATCAAATCTGAATGGTCTCTCTGTGTTTCTCTAAAGAGCAAGTACATCAGTCCTCCACCTGGTCCCATACAGGGTCCCTTTGCAGTAAAGGAATCAGTCGAGTGCCCATCTCTACCAGGCACTGTTACCCCCAACCCCTCCTTGAAAGCTGACCCTTGGCCTAATACTGGTGTTCAGCCCGAGCCTGGCTCCTTCTCAATAGTAAGTGCTGATGAAGACCCAAAGCAGAAAGAGCTCTGTCCTGGGAGTCAAGCAGCCCCTATTCTGATCTCAGCTCAACCACTGATTGGCTGTGTGGCCCTGGGTAAGTTGCTTCCCCTCTTTGAACCTTTGTAAAATGAGGAGTAGACTAGGTCAGAGCCACTTCAGCTTTAATGTGTCCAGCACAAATGGTAGAGTGTGGAACTCCAAGTCTGTCTTCACAAAAGCATCAAAAAATAAGCTGGCAAAAAAATACCCGAGTCAAATCTGTTGGCACTCTAGGAACTAACTGATGGTTTACAGCAACCAGGCAAGTGCTTAAGGAAAATAAATTTGAATTCAGTAAGAGAGCTTTGCTGTGTTTTAACTCGCCCCAGCCCCATCCCTAAAGTCCCAAGCTTGGCGGCAGTATCAAAAACAATATCCCTCATTCTCTGTGTAGGTTGCTAGACTAGAGGGAGCAGAATGGACCTTATTCTCAAGAAGTATGGTTTAAAATCTTGATCTGTCAGGTTGCTTTCTGAAAGACTGGCTCAAAATGACTTGCTTTTATTTTGCCTAATTTGGAACTTTCCCAAAGTGAAGGTGGCGTTTCAAGGCCAATGTGATAGCCGCTGATGGCCTGGGGAACAGAATAACAGTGGAGGCAAACAGGAGACTAATTGAAAAGCTTGAAGAGGAGAGGCTGTGAAATAAGATTCTTTGGGGGAAGGAGAGGAATAAGGGCTTTAAAGAGCTTCCTTATAGTCCTGGGAATCTAGAAGGCCATACATATACCCAGGGATGGACATGTGCTTAGAAAAGACTTGAGAAGGCCCTACATGCTCACTTCAGGCTGACTTTTCAGACTCTGCACAGGCAGGAAGTAAAGGCTAAGGCAGTTATAAACTGCCTGACTGAGTGTTGAAAGGTGTGCCCCAGGCCAGGCGCAGTGGCTCACGCCTATAATCCCAGCACTTTCGGAGGCCCAGGTGAGAGGATTGCCTGAGCCCATGGATTCGAGACAAGCCTGGGCAACTTGGCAAGACTAAACCTCTACAATAAATTTAAAAATTAGCTGGGTGTGGTGGCCTGTGCCTATAGTTCCAGCTACTTGGAAGGCTGAGGCAGAAGGATCACCTGAGTCCAGCAGGTCGGGGCTATGGTGGCTATGTGCGTGCCACTGCACTCCAGCCTAGTAGACAGAGTGAGACTCCAACTCAAAAAAAGAAAAGAAAGAAAGGTATGCCCCAGCACACACACACAACACATCTGCAAAGGCTAGGAGGTGGTTTTGCTGTTTCTGTTGCAGATGTTTAAGGAAATCACTAAGCTAATCAGAGACTTCGGTGGTCACACCTCGTAAATAATACAAACTAAAAACTTGGTTCAGAAAATTAATGCACAAACTTCAAATACAATAAGCAGCAATAACAAAATGGGAAGGGGGATTAATTTGGTTTCCAGAGCTACCACATTATATGGGGGGAGGACCCAAAGAAACCTGGAATTATCCTTTGGAAGGTAGGCCCCTTGTAGTACGCTCAGAATTTATTTCTCTGAATCAAATGGTTAATCAAAGTTTTTATCTGAAAGTTTTGAAAAGGTTGCATCACTATTTGCAGAAGAAACATTCCAAGTTGTGGCAACAGGTAACTGGCTCTTCCACCATGACAATGCACCTGCCCACACTGCCGTGAGTGTTCAGCAGTTTTTGACCAAAAAATGGTATTACCCCATTTGCCACCCTTCCTATTCACCTGATCTCACCCTGAGCAACTTTTTTTTGTTTCCCCAGATGAAAAAAATCCTTAAGGGAAATGTTTTGCCGATGTGAAAGAGGTGAAACAAAAAATTGGCAGCAACACTAAAAG